TCCTGATGCAGGAACCAACTCAGCAGCTTCAAATACAGACCTTAGGTGAGTTCCATTGGGAAGGGATGCAGCAGGGAGGATCCTTGGGTGGCCCCTGATGTCCTTTAGGAACTCCTGAGTCACTGGTCTGGGGTTGTCAAGCCCTGCGGGTGCTCCCAGGGAGAAGCCAGGACATATGCACATATCTGATTCATGGGGGCACATCGAAGGATCTGGGCAGTTGATCCTCACAAACAGCCTGTGAAAGAACCACTGCAAAGTGCAGACATCCAACTGGGTCCCTTTTCAGTACACGTGTTTCACAGCCTTTACATCTTCCTTCCTGACATTATAAATCTTGATTTCATGAAACCAAGAAGAATCATTAGGAAAACAGAATTATGCTGGCTAAAACATTGCTGTCATGTTGAGTCATGACAGTTTCCAAAAAAAGAAGACTCCTCCACTCTTTGCTAACTATTTTACAAGAAAGTAGTCTATAAAATATATTTTTGAAGACAACTATTGACCATGGCCATGGGGAGCGAAGGCAGTGAGGAGGCCCCCCAGCCTCCATGCCCAGGCTTGGGGTGTGTCTCTAGGCTGTTGTCCACAATCCCTCTGTTTCAAGTGTGAGTTATTCTGGATTGATTGACAAAGATAAACCCAATCACACCCTTAGATGGGAACTTGGGGATTCAGTCCCATCAGCTGCACATAGTCCCAAGGCTTTTGTGTCTAAATTATGGGAATTTGGATTTCGCTTTGGCTCTCCACCACCAGAAATCAGGAAATCTCTGAAAAGCAAACCACACAGACTCCAGCTGTCCAGGTGTCATTTGCCAGAAATGGCTCCAGGGAGATTTTATTTACAAGAGAGTGACTGGCCCTGCAGTGTGAGTCCTTGACCGGCAGCCCACAGCTGTCCCGTGTGGCTTGGGGTGGAGGTCAGACACTGTGCAGGCGGAACCAGACCCGGTGGAACCCACCCATGAGCGGGAGGCAGGTCAGGGACCAGATGGAACTGTGGTGAGGAGGCGGGGTGTCTGGGCAGCTGCCCTGTTCACAGGCTGCTGGCCACGCGCTGCAGGATCAGACGAGAGCATTGTGGCTGGTCCACGCTGGACACCCTACTTTGAGCCTTGTTTCCTTGTCAAAAGAGGGGATGGATTGTAGAAGCTGCTTCTTCATTTATTTCACCTACATCTGCCTCTGTTCTGGCCAGGTGCTGGGGTAGCACAATTAGAGGCAACGCTGGCCCCTACCTGGTAACCCAGACAGTGGCCCCCAGTGAGCCCTCTTTCCCTCCAGGGCAGGAGACCTTCCTCCCTCATCCTTGCATGTAATAAACAACTGGCCACTTTCCCCTACTCAGGCCTTTTTGGTGCCTCAGGGCTCCAGAGATCCTGGTATCAGGGACAGAGATCCCAAGAGAAGTTCTAAGAATAGCATCCTTTCCATGACTGTTACGTCCCAAGTCAGACCTGACTTTGCAATACTAAATAAATATTAACAAAGTTGATGCTCTCTCCTGCCCAAACTTCAGTTTTTTCCTAAAATCTACATTAATGGCATCTCAACTTTCCCCTGTAGCAATCCCCTTCTTTGGACTGACTGCTAAAAAGCTGGTATCTCATAAAATAAACCCAGAAGAACTTAGGAAGCCCAATGCAGTCTGGGAAACATCATAACCCACTAAGAAAATCTTACAAAATATTTTTCTTAGTTTCTTGAGTAGTGCAGTTTAGACTTTACACAGAGTCAAACTTAAAATCTGTTGCTATTTCGTATTATTTAACAAAAAGCTTACCCTCCCTATTAAGGATGATTTGAATATTCATTCTCTTCAAAGAGTTTTCTGCTTTCAGGAAATATAATTATCTTAATTCCTAATATAATTATCAGGAAATATAATTTATCTGCTTTCAGATAAATGGGGCCAATTTTATTAGATTATTTTGCTTCAAATCCTGAGGGCTCCCGATGCCCTTTGGAGGAAATCTCAGCCCTGAACAGGGCTCTCACTATGCAGTCTTGCCTTTTACCACACTGTCCACCCCACTCCATCCATAACCTTCTCCCCTGAAAGGAGGTCAGCTTCTCCAAGGCCTCTCTCAAGTGTCCGCATAGACCATGGGGCAGGGATGGAGTTTTGGCTGAACTCCAGTCTTTTCAGAATGCCTTGTGGTCTTCCTAGACCCCAGGATTTGTTGTGAGGGGCTTCCACCTCTCAGTCACTTCCCTGGATCAAGAAGGCTATCTCGAGTGTTTTCTTACTTGCCTCCTGAATTTTGAGGAGGTGTGAAGTCTTCTGCTCACCTCCCTTTAGATGATAGAACTGTTTCTCTGCATTGGACCAAGGTGTCCCATTACTGCTTGTCTGTTCTCTGACCCCCTGCACGAGGAGCTGGGGAGCTGGCACCTTTGGCTGCTCTTCCCCCCTGCATCCTTGCATGAAATTAACTCTCAGAATGGGAGCAGGGGGACTTCTCTGTTCCTCTCCCTGCTGAATCATCAGGTCAGACCTGCCTCGTGCTCTGCACCCGCCTCCCACTTCACTCCCCACTCCGTCCTTCCTTGCCCCAAGATTCAAGTCCCTGTTTGGGGTTTTCTAGTTGAAAAAAGGTAGTGTTGGGAGCACACAGAAATGATGGATGACATGCTGAAGGCTGGAGTGTGCCGGGCATGAAGGGAGCACCATCTGCATTGCTTCTATCATTCCACTCCCTTCGTGTCTCAGATGGGATGTCATTCTCCCATGTGAAAAAGAGGAAATGGGGGCTCAGAGGGAAAGTCCCATGACCAAGTTGCAGGGCCAATGGATGGCAGGCCCTGATGGGAGGCCTCGTCTGTCAGACTGGGAATTATTTTGCTGCACTGGGATCTCAGCAGAGGGAATTGGATGCTTTCACTATTGATACCTTCATAGCTCTTGACAGCTATCAAAACTGTCCCTTGTGTCCCCACATTGGATCTTAACCTAAACTGATTGCTGGACAACATTAGCATCCCATGCTGAAGCTGAGAGGCAAGCCCACGAGACAGTGGCTCGTCCACTCCTGCATTACGGCCGTGGGACAGCGTTCCTGATTAGAGGTGTGTTAGGGCCCCCAGGAACCCGGGACCAAGGAGCGTGACTGGTATGGGCAGAGGCTGCATGTCAGGAAGGGGGAGCCCCACAGTCAAGGCGGAGCCTGGGCACATCAGACAGAGGGAGCACAAAGCCGACTGCACAGGGTGACAGGCCAGAAGGATCCCTAGGCCAGCACAGAGGTGGCGTCCGGGCGGCAGAAACAGGGCCATCACAGGGCTGGAGGGTGGGCTTGCATGCCCTGACCCCTCAAGCAAGGACCTCTGGTTTCCCATCACACGGCCCGGGTTCTGAGAAACACTGGGGTGACCCACGGGTAAGAGGGGTGAGCCAGGCAGAGCATGCGGGGGAGGGGTGGCCAAGGGCAGGAGACAAAGCCGTGGGTGTGAGATGGCCTCCAGGTGTGTCACCCTCTCTTCAGTCCTGGGGGGCTCAGAGCCTGACCTCTTGGTAGGGACCCTGCTGGCTCTGTGGTGACCTCCCCTGGGTCATGTGGACATGCATCCCCCCATCACTGTGAGGGGCTGTGAGGGAAGGGCTGGGCTGCAGATATGGGTTGGGGTGAGGGTCTTGAGGTCAGTCCTCACTGGTCAGTAGGTGTAACCCTGAGCCCTTCCCAGATGTGACTTTCCCAAATGATCAAGTTAAAAGCAGGAGTGGCCATTCTCGTGCACCTCTGAGTGGAACTGTTCTCTATATAAAAACCCTCTTTTCCCTGCTCTCCTCTCCATGACCGGGCTTGAACCTGGAGCAGCAACCCAACAGGCCTTGTCCTCAAGCGCCCTGTCCAAACTGGGTCCAAATCGGGTCTCAGGAGTGCTCTGGCTGGCAGAAGACAAAGCTGGCTTTTACTCTTGTAAAATTCTGCAGCTTGGAATAGGGCATGTGTAAGGCTGTAAACATTGCTAAGGTCAGAAGTTTCTGACAGTGGGTTGTTGGCCGGTAGGCATCACTGAGGTCCCCTGGGCCAGGCAAGAGTAGGGGTGTTAACTTTTGAGTTTGGGGGGACACAGGCCACATGAGTTTCTTCAAAACTAGAAGGTAGGTGGGCTCTTGGGGTTCTTTCTGTCTTAGAAACTTTGAGCTGATGGAGTTTGGAATCTGGGATGAAGCCAAAGAAGCTGGCAAAATGCTGGAGAAAGGTTGGAGAAAAGACCAAAAGACCAACCTTTCTCCAAAAGGTTGGAGAAAGACCAAAGCCTGGTTACGTTTGGTCCCCTGGATCCAGCAGTTCCTGAAGTCCACACCTGAGTGTGAAGCTATAATTCTTGTTTGTCATTTTGCTTAAGCTGTTTTGAGTTGAATTTGTGTTACTTGGAACTACAGGGGTCCTGAGGAATTCAGATACTCCTGAGAAAGATTGCAGAATGGTGGGTGCATCCATCCTCAGGGGCCCATGCTGGGGGACAATTTGTGAAAGGGGGTGGGGAGAAGGCAGTGTTTTCTGGAGTCAAATCAAGGTGAACAGGAGGTATCCTTAGGAAAAGACTGAATATCAGGCTTGTAAAGACCCTCGAAAGCAAGGAATACCAGCTTTTATCCATGGGTTTGCATCCCAACTAAAGTCACTGTTCTGTCATCACAGCAGAAGGTGGGTGTCTCCCTGAGACTCAGGGGATGAGGCAGAGCATCAGCATCTGTCAGCTGTCTCGGTGCTGCCAGGGGAGGAAGCTCTGATTCCGGTGGTCCACCTGCTCCTGCCAGCAGGATGTGCCCCTCAAATGGACTTTTAACACTTCCCAAATCAACGGGGAAGATCTTTGAAAATGTTCAGGCCACTTATTCTAATCCTGACAGTGACTTTCTCAGCCGTTCATTTGGGAATGAAGAAGAGAGATCTTGCCAGACAGAATAAACAGGAGGGTATGCCTTTTAACCTTGAAGCTTGATGGATCCATGCTCTTGAGGTGTTCTCTTCCAGGGCACATGCCTCAGTCGTTGCTGAGCTGGGGTCACCATCTGTGGGCACAGAGATCTGTCAACTTTGGGGAAGTTTGGCTGGCAGGAGCCTCAGGTAGGCTGTGGAAAGCTGAGTTTAAGGACCTGAAAGCAGAGGTACAGACTCTGCAAGAAATGCTTTTCATTGACGTTTAAGTTCCCAAATAACATAACCAATGTAATCTTGAAAATAACAGTCTTATAGCAAGTTGTCACTAGTTTCTGATTTCATACCTAGTAGAACATTCATGAAGTGTGTGTTTATCCATCTATTCTTTTTCAGGTTCCTTTCCATTATAGGATATCACAAGATACTGAGTGTATTTCGCTGTGCTATACAGTAGCTCCTTGTTGGTGATCTATTTTATATTTAGTAGTGTTATGTATATTAATCCCAAACTCCTAATTTATCCCTCCCTACCCTTTCCCCTTTGATAACCATAAGTATATTTTCTAGGTCTGTGAATCTATCTCTGTTTCAAGTTTCTCTTTCTTGACTTGGTTTATGAGTAAAGGAGGCTCTGTCAGCCAAATGATCACTATATGTAAGCTCACAGAAGTGGAAGCGAGGAGAGGAGAGCAGACACCCGTGGCAGACACACGTTAAAGCAGCCTTGCCTGGGCCAACAGGACCCTGACCTGGGGCAGGTGGGAGCTTGTCAGCGTCCTGAGGAATGCCTCCAGCTGATGACTGTCCACCTGGAAGTATTACTTGGGCTGCTGTGTTGAGAATGGTCATTGGAGGATAAAGTTGGACAGAGGGAGACAAATAACAAGCCTGCTGAGACAAATGACCCATCTCAGGGTGGGGTGAGGAGGGAGGTAATAATGGGGTTTTACAGAGAGTCCCCCAGTGACATCACAGTCAGCAGAGGTGGAACACTGTCCATTAAGGGGTCTGGAGGAGAGAAAGTATATTTTCTAGGTCTGTGAATCTATCTCTGTTTCAAGTTTCTCTTTCTTGACTTGGTTTATGAGTAAAGGAGGCTCTGTCAGCCAAATGATCACTATATGTAAGCTCACAGAAGTGGAAGCGAGGAGAGGAGAGCAGACACCTGTGGCAGACACACGTTAAAGCAGCCTTGCCTGGGCCAACAGGACCCTGACCTGGGGCAGGTGGGAGCTTGTCAGTGTCCTGAGGAATGCCTCCAGCTGATGACTGTCCACCTGGAAGTATTACTTGGGCTGCTGTGTTGAGAATGGTCATTGGAGGATAAAGTTGGACAGAGGGAGACAAATAACAAGCCTGCTGAGACAAATGACCCATCTCAGGGTGGGGTGAGGAGGGAGGTAATAATGGGGTTTTACAGAGAGTCCCCCAGTGACATCACAGTCAGCAGAGGTGGAACACTGTCCATTAAGGGGTCTGGAGGAGAGGCTAGGCACCAGGTGTGGGCATGTGGAGTGTGAGATGTAGATTAGTCAACCCATGGGAAGGGGTGCTGCAAGGGGGATGCACGAGTCTGACTTCTGACTTCTGTGTGGAACAGTCTCTATCCTGCCTTCTCTGCCTCTCCCTCAAGAGAACTGTTGATGAAAAAATTAATCAATAATCACTCTAAGAAAGAGATGGAAAAACTTATTTGAGCCAACCTGAGCTTTGTAACCTGGGGGGTGGCCTTTCAGAGCTCTGAGGACTGTTCTGAAGTGGTCAAGGGGGCAAGCAGGATAGATGTGATTGACAAAGGGGTACATACAACCAAGCACACATCTTGGTGGAAGGTTGCTGCTATTATCCAGAAACAGGTATCTTAATTAGTGGTCTCAAGGCTTTTCTAAGTATGGGAAGAGGCAGGAACCTAGGTTCATAAAAATTGCTACTGAAAATATCTAACTATCTGAGGACCAGTTTTTTTCCCCCCAGTTTTCTTAGTGAACGAAGTGCCTCATCCTGATCTTTGCCCCAGACTCCTTTCAGGGTGTATTGTAGGTCAGTGACTTCAGTGTTAATGACTTGTTTTTTGTCAAACTGAATGGTGGGCACCATTCTTTGTTTTACAATCCCTTCCCTTTTGACCTTAATTACAACCAAGGTTTGGGAGGCATTCTGTGACCAAGTTGTCCCTCAGTGCTTAGAATGTTCATTCCTAGGTTCCCTCTTATTGCTTTTCCCCATATCTGTAGTTTTTACACTATTTTCAATCACTGATCTTATAGAACTATATATGTGATCAATCATTTCAAAGCACCTAATCATCTGTGACTCAGTCACACATTTGATAATGCAAGGAACTAATCTTATAAAATAGCAGAATACAAGTAATACAGCTAGTAACAATGTATCATAAACATTAGGGCTTCCCAGTTGGTGCCAATGGTAAGGAATCCACCTGTGAATGCAGAATACATAAGAGATGTGGGTTTGATCCCTGGGTTGGGTAGAAGGAAATGGCAGCCCACTCCAGTATTCTTGCGTGGAAGATCCCATGGACAGAGGAGCCTGGCCAGTGTCTCCCCAGGTCATCTGACCAGTCTATTCTGCACCAGTCACTATCTTTGTGGGAAATGGCTTGTTGGCATTGTATGTAGAGTTCACCAAAGATGTCTACGTGTACAAGATGATAGTGGGTCATGATGACCTGTGACAGGATTGAGAAAGGAGTTATTACTTAGGGAATTAAAAAGCTGTCAGAAAATTGAAGAAAATGAAATAAAGTTGATCTTTATGGTTGAGCAGGTATCTCTGTCATTGTGGGGTGGGGGATGTCAATGCATCATGCAGATACACAGTGCTCACTAGAGGGAAGGGAGGTGGCCTACAGTGGGCAGAGAAAAGCTCTGTGCTTACATTTTTCTTGTCCTGCCTCAAACTATGACTTTTTATTTAATCAAAACTGATTCAGATCTTCAGTGACCCACTAAGCTCTATGTCGACCCCCTAGAGTAGCACTGTTATTGAGATGTAATTCATTTGCCAATATACCTTGTAGTTATCCATTTATATTGGACATTCAATGTTTTTTAGTATAGTCACAGCATTGTGCAACCATCATGACAATCTTATTTTAGAACATTTTTGTCACACCCCCCTCTCTGCCAAAAAAACCCCATTATCCATCAGCAAACACAGTCCATTCCCCAGTATGGTGCTTCTAAATATTGATGATTCCTAATTTTTAAGCCTATCTGTAAACAATTTAATGATTAAAGAACCACATGATATTTGTTTTTGTGTAACCAGTCTATCAGAATTATTCAAAAACAGCTTGTATACGAATGAAGCATACTTTTAAATTGAAAAGATTAAAAAAATACGACCCAAGGATTGTGCCTCTTTAAGAAAGGATGACCCCTTTGCATTTCTGTGCTATTTGTATGGCTGATGCAGTATTTTTCAAATCTCCTTGAGAAACTGGTGGGAGGCTATGCAGATAAGTGATGATTGCTTTTTTATTTCTTGGCTATATTTTTCTAGCATCTGTTGTAAACAAAACAGAGAAAAGAGCCTTTCTAAACCTGGTGCAAATATCTCAAATTCAAGAAAGCCAATGATGGAAAATGTAATATCGAAGTTCAGATTATTATAAATGCATGGCATAAATCACATCTGCTCATTAAACTTAATTCCAACGAATAACAGCAAAAGCAAAGAGATATTGGAGAGTCTCTTGAGAAGTCACACATTTGATAATGCAAGGAACTAATCTTATAAAATAGCAGAATACAAGTAATACAGCTAGTAACAATGTATCATAAACATTAGGGCTTCCCAGTTGGTGCCAGTGGTAAGGAATCCACCTGTGAATGCAGAATACATAAGAGATGTGGGTTTGATCCCTGGGTTGGGTAGAAGGAAATGGCAGCCCACTCCAGTATTCTTGCGTGGAAGATCCCATGGACAGAGGAGCCTGGCCAGTGTCTCCCCAGGTCATCTGACCAGTCTATTCTGCACCAGTCACTATCTTTGTGGGAAATGGCTTGTTGGCATTGTATGTAGAGTTCACCAAAGATGTCTACGTGTACAAGATGATAGTGGGTCATGATGACCTGTGACAGGATTGAGAAAGGAGTTATTACTTAGGGAATTAAAAAGCTGTCAGAAAATTGAAGAAAATGAAATAAAGTTGATCTTTATGGTTGAGCAGGTATCTCTGTCATTGTGGGGTGGGGGATGTCAATGCATCATGCAGATACACAGTGCTCACTAGAGGGAAGGGAGGTGGCCTACAGTGGGCAGAGAAAAGCTCTGTGCTTACATTTTTCTTGTCCTGCCTCAAACTATGACTTTTTATTTAATCAAAACTGATTCAGATCTTCAGTGACCCACTAAGCTCTATGTCGACCCCCTAGAGTAGCACTGTTATTGAGATGTAATTCATTTGCCAATATACCTTGTAGTTATCCATTTATATTGGACATTCAATGTTTTTTAGTATAGTCACAGCATTGTGCAACCATCATGACAATCTTATTTTAGAACATTTTTGTCACACCCCCCTCTCTGCCAAAAAAACCCCATTATCCATCAGCAAACACAGTCCATTCCCCAGTATGGTGCTTCTAAATATTGATGATTCCTAATTTTTAAGCCTATCTGTAAACAATTTAATGATTAAAGAACCACATGATATTTGTTTTTGTGTAACCAGTCTATCAGAATTATTCAAAAACAGCTTGTATACGAATGAAGCATACTTTTAAATTGAAAAGATTAAAAAAATACGACCCAAGGATTGTGCCTCTTTAAGAAAGGATGACCCCTTTGCATTTCTGTGCTATTTGTATGGCTGATGCAGTATTTTTCAAATCTCCTTGAGAAACTGGTGGGAGGCTATGCAGATAAGTGATGATTGCTTTTTTATTTCTTGGCTATATTTTTCTAGCATCTGTTGTAAACAAAACAGAGAAAAGAGCCTTTCTAAACCTGGTGCAAATATCTCAAATTCAAGAAAGCCAATGATGGAAAATGTAATATCGAAGTTCAGATTATTATAAATGCATGGCATAAATCACATCTGCTCATTAAACTTAATTCCAACGAATAACAGCAAAAGCAAAGAGATATTGGAGAGTCTCTTGAGAGAAATAAAGTAGTCGACAAATTCTTGGTTTTAACTTTTCTATCATGAGGATGCT